ATGTAGCTGGACTTTACCCTGTGTAAGGCCCATAAAAATAACTCAACTGTCTGGTTTGATTTCTTTTCTCTTGCTGAAATAAGCAAACAAGCCAAATTATTTCAGCTTTCTGTCTTTGCTTTAGCAAAGAAGCACAATGGCTTTTCTCAAGGCACCACTCCAGAAGACATAAGAGAAGGTGGAGGCTCACTTGTCACCCAGTGGTGAAGGTGCTGGATTTGGGTGTGAGTGACAAGATTGAGGTTGCACCCTTTGTTGAGACAGGTGTGACCTGTGCCCTGCTGTGCTGGGACACCTGAGGAGTTTGAAGGAGAGAAGACAGAGGGTTCCTCATGCACTCACAGTGCTGCTGTGTTGCCTTATTTATTTAAAAAGAAGTCCCTATGCTTTTAGCCCAGGATGGTTGACCTCAGTTCTGGTGATTTGATTATTCACTAATTATCAGGGACTCACACTCTATTATTATGAGTTTTGGTAATGGTTCCCAGGATGATGGGAATGATACCAAGCAGCAGAGATGAAGAAAATCCCATCTGGCAGGGACAACAAGGTCTCTAGTGTGGTTTGCAGGTCCCCCAGAAGAAAAAAGAAGGGAGTTGGTTGGGTTTGTACATCAGTCTCCTGTTGGCACTGAGTCCCCTGTTAGTACACCAGGAACAGAATTGCCACGTGTGATTGCTTGCATCCTACACATTCCTGAAAGATAAATCAAAAGTTGTATTTTTAATGCCAGAAATAGTTCTAATTACCTCCTGTTCACATGTACTCACCAGGTTGTACAAAGGTCCTGGACAGAGCACACTTGCAGAGCTTTAGATCCTGCACCAGTTCCTTGTGCCCACAGTGCTCCTGCAAGTGTCTCCTTATCTGGGAAGCTGGGTCTGGGCTTTGCAGCAATAACATCAACTAAAGCCATGAAATCCCATCATCTCAGGGGACAACACTACCCCGTTAGTTTGGGTTACTTTATCACAGTGAAAAAGCTTAGAAATTTGCAGAAATACAGGGGGAATCAGTCATGAGAAAAGTTTGTAGATTTTTTTTTTTCAGTTTTGCAGTAGATGAGTGGAAGTTTTCTCAGAAACATTTACAATGGTGAGAAAATAGTGAAAAAATGGAGAACAGATGAATGTGCAGTCACCAGACTGCCCTCTCACTACCTTGGTAGCTGGTACAGAGGAATGAATGCAAATGGATGTGTGTGTGTGTGTGTCTAGGCTTGTCTTTTCCACTCATGTCTAGTCAACCAATTGATTAAAAAAACCCTCTGCAGTTTTATTATTTCATATTGATGGCTGACTCAGTTAATTTATGTTTTGCAGATATTTAATGATTTAGGGTAGTTGTTAATATTGTTTCATTATTATTAAGTAGTTCAAAGGCTGGGCTCAGTCTGAGCTTTTAATAATTATTTTTAAATTTAAAGTAATAAAAAACATGGCAGTGTGGGAAATGAGGAAAAGGCAAATGTATGAGGCAGCATTATCAGTATCTGTTATACAGCCACAGCAAGACTTCTGTCTCTTTTTCCTCATTTATTGTGTGTTTATTTGCCTTTTCTTTTTCCCATGATGTCAGTATAAAGAGGAGAATGAAGGCTGAAATGAATGGATTTCAGCCTTTGATACTGAAGGATTACAGTCTGCAAACATGAAAAAGAATTCTTAGTTTTATTTTGAAACTTTTCATTGTCTTTAGTAGTAGCAGAATATGGCTTCAAATACATTTGGGTTCTGTGTTCTGCAGGAAATGTTCAAAATTATGTACAGCAAAATTAAGAATCAGAATGTGCCTTTCTTAAAAGGAAAATGGAATTTTCTTTGAAAACAAGAGCCAGACTCCAGCTGGAATTTCACTGGTAGAATGAGTTGCAATGCTCCAGGCCTTACAACTGACAAATATTCTATCACTCCAAAGCCAGGTTTTCCTCTAGCTTATTGGTACAGATTTTCTCTCTCTTATTTATATTTATGTATATGTATACACACATATATTTATATCCATTTAGTGTTTTACAGAGCCTTATTTGAAATGGGGACTAGATGAAGTCTAAAACCTAATGCCAAGGAATTTATCTTGAATTCCATATGGATTGTTTCTATAGTTTTTTTATTTTTCTTGTTGTTGTTAAGTTATTAGCTCCATAGACGCCTGATTCTTATTTCCCTGTATACAAAGTTTCCATCACCAGGCTGGAAATAGTGAGTCACAGATGAACAGACTTGAGAAGGTGGTGGAGAGCAGCTCTGCAGGCTCCTCAGCCTGACCCATGGGATGATGCTTTTGGCACAGAAGTTGCTCTTTGCACCTATGAACTCCCAAAGGCCCAAAGCCCTGTGAAGTTTATAAGAATTCAGTATCAAAACTGAGTCTAGTTTTCTGACTAGTGTCGCTATAGGACACAAAGGAACACACGCTCACACCGCTCTCAAGGTGAAAGAGAAAAAAGGGCCGTTTATTTTCTGACTCCAACATTTATAGTTTTCCAAAAGTGACAGTGGATTGGAGGGTGACAGTGGCACCTCTCCAATGCCACTGGTTAAACCAACAGTCCATCAACTCTCTCCTCCTCCATAAAGGAATGCAAAACAATAAGTTATTTACAGAAAGTGTGTGAGAAAATTCACTACAAGAATGTCAACATCAGAAGGCTTAGAAAATCTTAAAAACTCAGGGTGACAGACTAGTTTCCTGTCAATAAGATAAAATGTTTCTCAAAAAAAAACCCCAAACATTTTAACAATTCTACAAAACGCTTCAAAGAGGCAGACAGAGTTTCTACTGTTTATAAATAGCTGAAAGATTCACTGGTCATTTAACATAATTTACCAAAAAACCACACCTCAAATCCTGCCTTTTTGCTAAGGCTGTAAGACCTGTTGAGACACCTCTCAGCTGAACAAAGGCAGGCAGTGTACATGGAGCACTTGGGGATTTTAGTGATTCAGATCCACCTGAACCCTGGAATCGCTGTCCAGACCTTACTCAGGGATAATTCCCGTTTTATGGTGGGGCTTCTCTGGCAGCTGTTGCACCTCCTGGCTTTGATGACTTTTCCTTTTACTTTGTGCCAGCCCCATCCTATCAGCTGAAGTGGCTCCTGATGGTGCTTATTCCTTTTGTCATGTTAAGGAATCAATTTGAACTAAAAGCTTGGAGTTGTGAGTCCCCAGAATGAGACACTGCAGCTCTTGGTGGAGATCTACAACATGAACTGCAACAACTGGGAGTAGACAACACCAACCATAGATTGCATTCTTGCTTTTCTTCTCTCTTACTTTTAGGCATGGAAAAATGCTTCCCTACAACACACATTGGTCACCACAGACACACAGTGTTTCTGGTCCTGGAAGTGGATGATTTTTTTCTGGAAATGGGTGGAAGAGGGTATTTCCACAGCCTTAAAGAAGTATCTTCCTTCTCTCCTCACTCCCCTGCTTCTCCCTTTCTACAAAGCTTTTGGGAACTCATGAGTGCAATAGCAGGTAATGGCTTTTTTATTTTTTCCACTTTCTTTGCAAAATTTCAGTAACCTTGGTGGTAAACAGATGTCTACAAGCCATTGAATAGGCATTATTGATTTGAAACCTCATGGCCAGACTGAAGAATGAAGAGAGGAAGTGGAAATCTATGTTTCAGCCTTGCTAGGTGTTCTCAGGCAGATCCGATTGTCTGTACATCCTATTTCCAGGTTTGAAATGAGTGAAAATAGGACAGATCTATTCTGAAGCTTTATTTACTTCAAGTGTTTAGCAATAAGCAATGCACAGAGGCAAAGATTTTTCTTCTGCCTGTTTGCTGGATTTTGGGAAGGAAATTCCAACTTTGCCCGCTTCCTGCTGGTCCAAGCCTTGCTCACAGTAGCAAAGTTTAGTTCATAACCTATATATATATATAGGCCTAGTTGACCTAACAGGAGTTATTACTGCGATGAAAGGCAGAGCAGTGTGTCAATTCCTTGCACCATGATAAACCATCATGTCAAAATTGTGCAGGGATAGCTCTGCTTCACCACTGGGCCCTACTGCCATGGCTTTGTTGGGTCAAAAACATTTAGAAGAATCATATCCCTTCCATAGCTGTGCTGGTGAAACTTCAAAGGGCAGCACACAACTTAAGCAAGGACTATGGTATTCCTTCTGTTGTTGTGGCTCTGGGGATTTTGGGTGTGAGGAGGTGTGGTCCCTGATTGACAGGACATGGCAAAAGCCTCGAGCACAGACACTGTTGTACCAGACAAACCTGTGGATTTTGGTTGTGGGGCAAGGTGGGGCTGAAATAGACTGCTCTGGTGAAATCTCAGTTTTAGCAATACCCTCTGCATCTGTAGGAGAAATGATTCTGCAGTGCAGCTATCTCAGACACAAAACAGAGATGGCTTTGCTCAGGTGGTGGCAGAAGGGAGCTTTTTAGTACACAAAATGTGTTATCAGAGTAATGTGCATTTCTTTTTTAAACTTTCCCAGTCTGTTGCTGGATGGCTGCTGTTACAAGTCACAGCTGGGCAGGTAACCATCTGTTAATGAGTAATCCTTGGTATTGGCATTGATCTGGTCCATATTTTGCAATGTGATGCCATCTCCTGAGTGGGCTTGCTTGGAGCTCCTTGCTGTTTCTGTACCATGCTTTTAATCAGCTCCTGAAGAGAAAGAAGGGAAACATTCAGCTCTACTTATAAGCAGCATTGGATCAGCTTCTCTGGAGCTGCTCTTCAGTGCTTGCTGATTACAGCAGGGACCATCGCCAAGGGTCAGGCACTTTGTGAACTCTTCACTCCTGGTGGTGTAGGGAGAGTCTCTCCCTATGGGGCATTCCCTTCTACTCACAAAGACATTAATGATTAACAATGATAACAGCTCTGCTTACTTAGAAAACTAAAATACCTTAAAGTCAAGTAAATCACAGTCCCTTGTGAAAGCTTGTTCCTGATTCACCCTCCTGCTTCAGCCCAGCCCTGGAAGTTTTCCTCTGCCAGGCAAAACCTTCATGAGAGGAGAGCAAGGATGAAAGTCTGTGCTCCCCTCACTGTTGTCTTGGCTCTGAGTCTGAGCAGTGACTGTGCAAGGATGGTAAGTGATTCTTCTCTTTCTGAGTGATGGATCAGCTGGGGGATACCTGGCAGGACCAGGCTGCCCTGGGGCTGGATGAGTGCAGCCACTGAACAGACCCAGAGAAAGGGAGATCCAAAGGGAACACAACAGGGATGAGCCAGATGAAGGCTGACAGTTTGTGAGGAGTTTATAAGCTCTTTAGACAGTTTATAAGTGCTCACTTGTGGGGGGACTGTGGGACAGCTGGTGCTACACCTTTCTCTGTTTGAAGCATTTGCTTACATCCATGCCTTGCTATGGAGGAGGAATGGGAAGTGAGGAAGGACCACAAAAATGGAAATCCTTAAAAAACATATCTCAGAAAAGTGTTGACACAAGCAGGTACCTGCAGTAGCATGGAGGGAGAGTGCTCCACTGCCAGACAGTACTGCTGTCTGTAACTGAGCAGGCCAGCTTAGGTGGCTATCTTCTTCTTTTCAGACTTGTTTCCATGCCAAACCCCTTGGTGGTTTGCATTATGTGTCTTGTCTTTTCTGGGGCTATGTCTGCCAAGCACATGGAGCACTGCTGAACAGGCTGTGGTTTGAATTTGCTAGTTTGCTTAAAGCCCACCACAGCCTGGCATCTACCATGGGCTAGCAGGGCAGGTAGTTCACTGCTGCCTTATGGTCAGCACTGGGGCCTTGAGATCAGCCTTATTTCTCTAGCTGGGTTAAAACTAGCTCAGGTATACTTAGATGGTGCTATAATCTCAACTATCTCAGTGAATTACAAAAGTATGTCCTCAGATATTGCATGAGGGAGCAGAGAGGAATGCCCATGCTCAAGGTAAAGATCATTCCTGGCTGGAGCCCTTGCTTGGTGGTGGCAGAATCTGTGTAGAGTGCAAAAACTGTTATTTCCTCAGAATTGTTCAAGCCTTCTCTATATATCTTAGCAACAGCTTTTTCTTAACCCTCACTTTTATGTCTCCTGTCCAGTTCTATGTTCATGATATGTGCTTTTTTGACTGCTTTTGTGATATATTTTTTTTTGCTATAGTTCAATTGCCAGCACCTTTGGTGGCAGCAGCACTTTATGTGTATTATTCTCTTTTTATTATTTCCTGTGGCTTAAAATCAGCTCAGCCTAGTGCTCTTTGCTTGCTGATTGGCAAACCCAAATACAGTTAGAAGTTGCTTTTGTAACTAATGCCCTGGGGGCATTCAGTTAAATAGCAGGAAAAGGCAAATGTTGGGATATTATTTGTAACTGTGAACTGGCCCCAGAATGCCTGTATTCTTCCTGCTGAGAGAAATAGGAGATGTGTCCCTTGGCAATAGAAAGATAAAATGGAGCAGAGCTTTGGCCTTTGTTGTGTTGTGCTGGGTTTTCCTGGTTTAGCTGGCACTTTCAAGAGTCAACGTGTATCTACCCTCCTCCACCAGCCTGTGCCCCACCAAAAATCAGAAGCAAATAATAAGATTTTCTCAGAAGCTTTGGGAGAAACACAAGTTCAGGGCAGCCTGGAAAGTAGCTTTTTACCAGTAGTATGGTTCTCAGAGTGAATTTGTGTCTCCAATCCACATTCTCTTTTTCTCTTTGTAGCACTACAGATCTGGGGCAGGAAGAGGCTCAAGGCATGGGTTCCCTCACGCACAAGGTACCAAGTCAAATCCAGTAGTTTTCATGACAGTAAGAATGGTCTGCCTGTCTGTATCTGTGCTGTGCAAGCTGGTAGGAAGCCTGTCTTTGTTTCAACATGAATAAGGATTATAGAATGGTTATGCCAATATTAATTTCTGTTTAAAGGGGAATTTGAGATTAGCTCAGGAATCTCAGGTAATTTTCCTTCAGGTGCAAGATTAATGGGAAGGTGCTGATGGGATTTGAGTTGTCTGAGCTGGCATGGCTTTATATTATTTCACAAGGTGGTGTGGCTGAAGATGTGCAACAACCTTTAATCAGCTGCAGCTGCCCTGTAACTTTCAAGCACATTAACTCTTTGTATGTACGGGTTCAGTTTCTACCCTGGCCCTTGATCTCTCTGTGGGAGGAAGGTTTGAGTTGCATGCAGCTTTCTGGTTTGCATTTGTTCTAGTGGCACCCCAATGATCAGACATCCTGGCTGTGGGAGAGTGTTGCAGTTTCCATTTTTAAAGCTTTTATTGTCCTGTGCTTTTGTTGTTAAAGATTACATGCATTGGGCCATTGGGCTTTATAGGTTATAACAGTGGCCTTTGGGATGCAATGTATCTTCTGAATGGGGATGTATTCTCCCAGCTCTCCTGCCTGCTTGTACTGGGAGGTATGAGACAGAGAAAGTTGCCATTTGCAACATTTGCTTAATTAGTTCAGAGAATGAAAATAGGGTTGACAAGGGGATGGCAGAGGCTATTTCATATTGCTAGAGAAGGAGGCAGTTAGGGCAGATGGAGTGACAACAATCCCAACTGATTAAGAAGAGGTTGGACCACAGGGATAAGTTATTTTTTCTGTAATGCCAATAACTGACCTCAGCAGCTCTTTGAGATGATGGGAGTTAACAGACATTGTAAGAGTGTGCAGGAGCCCCAGCCATCATGGGAGGGGTAAGCTCAGGACAAGGAGCAGTCACACATTGTCTCTGAGAAATGAAAATGTGCTGTTCTGCCAGTTTGGTTGAATGCCCCATTTCTCTCTTATGGCACTGGTTGGCTTCCCATTCAGACTTTGGGATTTCAAAACAGATTACTTTTAGTTTAATGGTTAAATAAGCTCTGACAGTTTTTCATTGTCTTTTGTGCCTTCAGGCTCTCTCATTATCAAGACTCATCTTGAAGGATTTTTTCCTGATAGACTCCCACTAGCCTTCCTTAAACTCCCACCACCCTTCCTTAGATTGCCATCACTGATGTGGCAAATATAAAACTTGCCCTTTTTAGATACTGGTCCCATCAGTTTCTCCCCTCTTGTAAGGAATTTGCTTATCCCAAAGGGAAGGTTTTATGATCAAATTTCTCTCTACCCTCAAGCTTTAAAACTTCTTCCTCCTGATTCTTTCTATTTCAGTTTGTACTGTCTGGTTCCTTAATTATTTTAAACAGATATTACAATATGATATAGAGCCTGAAAGGATACAACTTCAGGAATTATTTTAATATGCCATTACAATACTACATAATTAGAAATTATAATTGCAATTAATGGATATAATTGGCATTTGCTGTACCAGAAGTGGCAGTATATTTTGAACTGAAATGATCTGAGATCTTTGTTCCACTGCAGAGTCCATTAATCTTTGTTGATTCAGTCATTATGTAAGATTTTAAGCTTCTTCTTATGCACTAGACATTGCAGAGACACAGAGTCCAGAGTACAGCTGAAAAACTTGCAGATATCTATCTTCATAATTTCATATAATAGTATATAATATAATTTGTGGTTTGGTTTTCAGCTGCATTATGAGTTTTTTATATTTGTATTTCAGTGTTTACCGAGGATGGACATTTATGCAGATTTCCTTTCCGGTTTGGCGGAAGGTTTTATCACACGTGTTTATCAAATTTATTTTCCAGAAAGAAATGGTGAGTTGACATTGCTCATAAATGAAAACAGCATTCAAATGAAATGTCACCCTTTTAGTGCTTTAATCGTGCTTTTGGAGTCATTAACACGGGCTGGATGTTGTGCCCAAGGTGCAGTTCTGCTGCTGATGGCCGTGGCCCTCGGGTCAGGATGTGCTCAGGGGCAGGGCAGCCCTGGCACTGGGTGTCCACAGCACAGGAGGCTCAGGAACTGCAGAAATGCCTCCTTGCTGCCCTGCCCATTGGAACTGCAATTTACATGGGTGACAAGAGCTTGTACAGAGAATGCAGGACTGATAGAATGACCCTGGGAGAGACAGACCCTCTGCTGAGGGAGAAAGGAGACACAGACTCCTCCAGGAGAGGACTCTTGGTTAGGGGGCTGTTGGATTTGTGCAGGCTGTACTTGTACTGCAGCAGAGACCATCTGATTTTTGGGGAAAGCTGTTTCCTCCCCACCCCCATCTCTCTAATTTCTATCCAGATTGGCACCAGAACCCCTTTGGACAGTGCAGTACTAAGAAGTGAGGTATTACTCCTGTTTGTTGGTTAATGATTTATTCTACTACTGTGTTTAAGGCCATTTTGCCTTCTTTTGGGCAAAGGTTACTCTTTTACTTTTGCAGAAAGTATTAGAAGTATTCATGATCCATTTTTGGGGTAGGAGCAGTCAGGGGGGAACCCTACTGAATTAAAGCACTGAATAAAAAAGATAAACTTTGCAGACAAACTCATATGATAGGCATATATTAACTGAAATCAAAGGCAACAAACAGAGAATATGTGGGTACCAGTAATGTGAAAATTATGCCCAGATGAGCCAAGTGAAAAGCAAACACTTGCCTGTTTTCAGGGCAGAGATAGTATTTTAGAGTTTACTTTACTTGCCCAGGCAGGGCAGAACTCTCATTTTTTATACTGGACTGTCTCATTTTTTCATGATCTGTTGGTGCCTTTTTGATGACACATCTGTTTCAAGTGTAAGTGCTGGTGTAATGTAAACAACACAAAACAAACCTGTTTGCACAAATAGACACCCAGCTTCAGGCTAGGAAACCACTTCAGAATTTCCCCAATAACCACTGATAAAACCCAGCTAATAAAAGCCTCCAGGAAACAAGAATTTGAGACTATCTAAAGAAAGGGAACTGGAATAATTTACCAGTTTGAATCCTGTCTTTGAACTTTAGTCACAAAGAGTTTGACCTTAGTACCCACTTAATTTCATGCAATGCTTAAGAGGGATCCTGTTAATACATGACACTGTGTATTTGTTTTTAGCCAGTTAGGGCACAGAAATGGAAAAACTTGTCAATGGATGTGGTCCAAGGTTAAAGCACACTTTAGAGCTGACCTTGAACAACTTGCTCTCATGCTTCTGACTTTTTAAAAGCCATTTACAAGCAGGGAGACAAGGAAGAGGACAGCTGGAGTTATTTGGATTTGACAGACCATTTCACCCTATGGGTGACCTTCTGACCAGTGTTTGCTCATCACTCATAAGCTAAAAGCAACTTAATGTGTGACTTCAGGCACAGAGATGCCAGGAAAAGAGCCCTGAGTAGCAGTTGGGAAACCTGCTCTGTGCACTTTTTGTGTGACTTGGCACCAGCCCAGGCTGGCCTTACACTGAATAACTGATCCCAGGGACCTGGAGGGCTCCAGGTGAGGGCAAGGCTCGTGCCCTTCCTGCTCCTGCCTCCTGCAAGCTGCTAGGAAGGGATGATGGGAGGCTGGGTCCAAACTGCTGCTGAATTCTGAACTCCAGGAAACCCAACCAGGAGAGCCCTGACTTATGTGTTAAATTCATGTCCTCGGTCTTCAAGTCACACTTTGGGTCAGGACTACAGGCAGGACTTTACAGTGCAGGCTAAACCCCACTCAAATTTGCTTTAGATTTATGTTTTCTCATACTGCATATGACACGGATACTGTGTTTCAACATAAATCTGTTCCTGACCACAGAAAGCTCTCCCTACTTTGAGAGCAACAAACAAGTTGTATTTTCAATAAATATTTATAAAGATACAGGAAAGAAGACAAAATGATTGCACTATTTAAATAACAGACTTCCTTTAGCAGCATTCTGTATTGCTTTTCCCCTTAATTATAATCTGTTTATAAGATCAATAGATCAGATATTTATCAGATAAATTTCCCTTTAGTGGCCTATTACTAAGTCTTGTGTGATATCTTGCTAAAGATATAGTGTAAATTTTCCTTTTGTGCTGAGGAGAAAAAAAAAAGGCTGAAATTGCTACTGAGTTTCATTGGTACCTCCAGACAGACAAAGCAGTGTAGGGACAGATGGAATGGGGGTGCAGTGAACACTGGTGAGAGCAAAAGGGGAGGATGGTCTGAACTGGACCAAGCTGTGGCTGCAGGGAAGCTGCAGCACCCTGTGCCTGAGTCCCAGCGTGGGATGGGTTCCTCAGATTCTGCTCCAGGGGAATGGCAGGAGCAGACCTTGCCTGAGATTTTGGCTATAGATGGGAAGGTGTTGACTCATGCCCTGCAGGAGCCTTATCCTGTGCTTGAGTTCTGGAGGGGCAGGGCCCCTGTGCCAGGGTGAGCTGAGGTCTGTGTAGGAAGGACATGATCTTATCTTCCTTGGAAACAAGAAGATAACTTTTGATGTGTTGGCCACAGACTGGAAACAGTGCAGAGGAAGCTTTTTGGCCAGCTGGATTACAGGATGGGGAGTTTGTGACAGCCCTGGGAAGGAGAAGTACCTGTGGGCTGAGCTGGGAGATGTCAGGCATCAGGTTCTGAATTTTCCTGGAGCTGGTAGTGGTTGGTCTGGTGTTTTCAGACCAAGTCTGTCAAGCCATGTTTCATGGTCAGGACAACACCTAAAAAAGTCTCAGGCAACCTCCAAGTCTCAAACACAGCGACAACACCAGGTGTGATGGCAAAGCTCTTTGCTTACACCTGCCTGCCTTGGGCCTGGGGCTTTGCTTGTTCTCCAAACATCCCATTGTTAGGGCTCCCTATGCTCCTGGTGGGAAAAACAGCCTACTTGCTTGCCAGTTAGGCCTCATCTTTTGTTTGCCCATTCCCATGCTGTTTACCATCTATGGATTTAAAATGTTATTTAAATCAATCCCGTGTAGTGGACTTTTCTGATATAATTAGTTCAGTATCTCTGTCCTTATGTTTTGACTTTCATATTAGCAATTTTATATGACAAGCTGATGTAAAGATATTTGCTATCCCATAAATTTTGAGTGTGGGTGCATTTGCAAATAGCATAAAGATATAAGGCCACTGGGTTGGTTTGGCTGCTGGAGGTAACATTCCAGAAGACTGAAAAGTCATCATTTCATTTTTGGTAAGCTCCAATCAGACAAAACATTTTTAAAAGAGAAGGAGGGAGACAAGAGAAATAGCTTTGAGGATGAGCTGAGATTCTCACAGAGAGTGAGACCTGTGGTGGAAAATATAAAAGGATTATGTCACTGTGCAAGGAGCTTGGGACTGAGGAGGCAGCTTGGCATCACAAGGGGAGACCAATCTCACTGTAGTCACTGCAAGGCAATAGGGAAGGACTGGCTGGGGAGAGCATCGAGTGGGAGGAACAGTGGTTTGTGGAGAGCTGGTAGAATAAGCCTCTATCAGGGTCTCTGACAACAAAAAATCCTTTTAAGATGGAAAATTTTGAGATTCCTCTTTGATTAGAACTTGGCTGCTGCTGGACAGTGACACAAGCACTGCTGAGGACACTTTAAACTCATTTCTCATCTTCATTCTTGTGCATACTAGACCACCCCTTAAAGAAAGCACAATCCACTTCCCACAGAAGGATCTTTGAGGAATTTCCATCAGCTCCCAGCAGTTGCATCAGCCTTAATTCCTGTGAGAGAAGAGCCTCTTTAAGCATGTGCCATGTTAATCTGCACCAGACTACCAAGCACCTCTTTTAGTGCACATTTATAATTGAGGTCACCCAACTTAATATACATGGCCTATTCAGATGCTCCATAGGAATTATGCATTTTAAATACCACATAGCATCTAATTAAAAAGGAAAATAGGACAGTTAAAATGTAGACATGTGCTACAATAAAATTTCAGTCTAGCTTGTGACGTCCTGGGGTGAAAAATTTGATCACACAACTGCTCAAGGAATTATAAAACCAGGCATAATGGAAATAGATCATCAGGCACATTAAATAAACTCCAGTGCCTTCTAATGTCATGTGGCTGATATCTATTATTCTGCATTATAACTGGCTAGGGAGGATGTTTTGGTGGATGGTGCACTGGGACAGGGCATGGACCTTCAAGGTGCAGCCTTAGTTCAGCCATGTGCTCCCTGTGTGTCCTCAGAAAAGCCTCCAAATCTGCTCCTGCAGAAGAGGAATAGCAGCTCTGTGCTGCTTGGGGTGCTCTGAGCCTGAGATAGCAGACTGAGATAAGAGACCACCAGAGAGGGGGTGCAGGACTCTGTCCCCTGCTCTCAAAAAAGGAGAGGTCTTATCTGTGCCTTTGGAAATCACCACCATGTCAGTTATTTCCTCATTTCATCTTGCAAGTTCCAAAATAAGAATGCTTTAAAGGAACTGAGTCTGAAAAGGGTGAAATATGCTTGTCACTGAAAGTCAGGGAAAAGTCCTTTTGTGGACAGTCTCCTGCCTCCACAGATTATTACAGTAACTGTTAGGCATCAAAAATGGTCTGGGTCCTGTTTTGCTTGTTTTGTAATAAGTAAAGAAGACATTATTTGTTTGCTTTGGTTTTGTTTTTTATTTCTGTCTTTAATTTTCTAACCCCAGAAAAAGGAAGAATGTTGGGTTTTTCTGAAGGATTCATTGAAAATCCCAGGTCCTGCATTTACATCTTTTTTTTAATATGTTTTTCATGTGAGACAAGTGGAGCAGAGCAACTTTAACAAAAGGAAGCATATTTTTTCCTCTGCTCTTACAACAATTTGAATGAAACTGATGCTAATTAGAAAAAAAAACAAGCATGAATTTTCCGGTCACCAGAGTGTGAAGGCCCTGTAGGTTCAGTGCAGACATCCAGGGTGTTTAAATGTGAACTAAGGCTATTTAAAGATGCACTAAGCTGCACCTTTGATTCTTTTCAGGTGTTCCACAACACATAACTTTGACCGGGACAGGAAGTGGGGACACTGTGATCTGCTGCCCAGAGACCACTCAGGTAAGGCCCTGGCTGAGCTGCTCCAGGTACCTGATTCCTACTTTGCCACCTGCAGGAAGGAGGGGCAGTGCCTTCAGTGCAACTTTTATTTGAGTATTTATTTTGAAGCAAGCCTTCACATCAGCTGTTTCCATAATCTCTTTGTGACGCTGCACAGCCATAGCATTAGACTGTGAATGTCACACAGCCTTTAATTCACTCTCTGCTGACTAACTCAAAGCCATGGAGGGAAATTATGGTAATGCCAGCATGGAAATCTAAACTCCTTCTGGAGCCAAACACAAAGGTGATCATCTTCTCCTCCCTCATGGCTTGGATGTACCTTTTAGCTTTCCCTAAATTACACAGCTGCATTTTCTGTCTGTTTGACCAGTTAGTTTCTTTAGAAGGCACAGAAACATTTGACACCCTGTACAACACACAGCCATCACTTCCAGCTTTCCTAACTTGAGATCTCATGGGAAAGAGCAGTTCTCAAACCTAGACTTCCTTGAGCTTTGGGCTGTGTCAGAGAAGACAAGAGGCCAGACATGTTCATTGCAGGAGTCCTGAGGGATAATGAAAGGATTACTTGGCTGAACAGCTCTGTGGCTTCCTGTGGTCACCACACTCCAGTGTTACAATTATCTCATTGCGAGAGTCTGTCTAAAAGGGGAAGTCAAGGTCTGTGGCAAAGAAGTCACCTTTACATATAAAAGTCACTTAAATTGACACATGGGGTGAAAGTTCACCTGGGAATATGCATCCCTGTCCTCAGCTCTCTCCCAGTGACTGGCTTTTGCTTATCTCTGTATCCCTGGCTCCATGAGGTGGGTGCTGCGGAAACCCATTTTATAAAGAATGTATATGTATGTGTGTGTATATACATATATGTATGTGTGTGTGTATATATATATATATATAAATTCTAATTTCATACAGACAAGCTTGAAAAATCAGGTGTTGAACTAGTAAAACTTGATGCCCCTGAGGCGTTTTTTGGATCTGTGTCTAGTTCTGTTCATGTTCCTCTTTTTGCTGTCTCACTATTTTCAAATGAGACACATTTAGTCTGCAGGATATGACCAATAGCCTTAGATATTCACTTCCCACTTTCAAATGAAGGGCTTTTTCCACCAAGCCCTTTCAGGAAGTTCTCCACAGTGTCAGGAGTCTCATTGCCAAGCTGATTGCAATCTACCAGAGCACTTGAAAAGCCAAATTAGCTGAATCACGCTGACAGTCTAGAATTAAGCAGTGCACAGCATCACCTTTTTAAATGTAGCTACGTTAAATTATTTTCCAGCCTGGCTTTAAAACAGATTAACAGTAGATCAGAGGCCAGTGACCTAGCCCCAAACTAAGCAGCAATGTATACAACTTTGTAATGCAAGTGTGCCAGACATGAACATAGACTTTATGGGCAGTTCATGCTTACAAGAGTCAGGTTATGAGGGCTGCACTTAGTTATTCATCAGTGGCTTTCCAGAGCATAAAATACAAATTAAAAAAAACCAAAACAAACAAACTTATATGTGTGAGAAAGGAAAGAGAAAAAAGGATGGGGTAGCTGGAAGAGATCACCACTGGCTGTTGCAAAATAAAAATAACCCCTTTATTTCTGGAAGCATTTAGAATTTGAAAAAAATACATGAAAATTTTTTGGCTGTTATTTTATTTATAAACATAAGTCTACTTAGGTTTTTTTTTTTTTTAGGAACAGTTTTTTGATTTGGGAAATGTTTAACAGATCATTAACCATAGCTTAAAGTGATCAGGTTTATGATGAGGTTGAAAGGAAAAGCAACATAATGGATGAAGGGAATTTGAAGCAAAAGAAGGAAAGTTTGCCTGCTGTGGAAGAAATAAGCAGTCAAACTGAACACTGCTGACCTCTAAAATGTGTAAAATAATACTTTTTAAAAAAATCCACTAAAATATGAAATCTTTTGGTGTTTTTTCTTGAATAACAAGAAAACATTGAATTTCAGGGAGAGAGTATCCTTTGGCCATAAGAGGTTGGTGAGCAGTGTATCCATTGGCATGGAGAAGGAGCTTCTTTAGAGCGAAGGCTGAAGCACAAACTCTCTCCAGGCCAAGAATACCACATGTATGTGATAAGTCAGCTTCAAAATGTTGGAGGTGCTTACAAATCAGTGTTAAGCAAGCACTTTTTTGATTCAGAAAAATACATCTGCCAAATTCAAGGGGGAGTTTTAATCAAGAAGCCTTTATCTCTAGGATGAAGTGAAGCCTGGGTGGGAAGTTTCTGCTGGAGGGAGCTGTTAGTACTGCACACGCGTGGGCTGTGCACGTGTAGCTCGCATATATGTACAAATGTCCATAAATGTGAAATGCCCCTATAGATGGGACTTCCAGGTTTTGGGCAGTCTGGTAGGACTGCTTCTCTGAATGTCTGGAAATCTTGGACAAGTGGCCAAACCCCCAGGGAGACCCAAACATGGGGGAGAAAATTGCCAGGCAGTATTTTTAAGATCCCTCTGGACTGATATGGAAAGAAATAGAAGAGTGATTTGGGGTGGCAAGAGGAAGAGACATCATCCCAGGAGGAGCTCTGAGGAAGGTAGGTGACAGAAACAAAGTTTTTGTTGGGAAATATGGACATAAAGGTGAGACAAGGCTGCTGCTCAATCAGCAGAGACTTGGAGAGGTGAAGCTGCAGTCAAGATGAGAGCTAGCAAGCATGGAGTGTTTCATCCATGAGGATGCTTTAGACAGTGCTGAGAAAGTGTGGACTTGGCACTCCCCAGTTAAAGGACAGTTAATAGTGGGCAGGATTCCCCACTGGGAACTGAGATGTGTCCATCTGCTTATGAGCAGAAGTTGTTCCTGGACTCCAGGAAAGAGGTGGAGCAACACAGAACATGCCTGGAAGGTCAGACTGGAGTGGTGGGCGGGATGTAGTGAGGAACAGATTGAGAAAGAAATAAATGAGTGGAAGTGCTTTTTCCAGATTTAACAAGGGTACAAAGAAATTTCTTGAACATTTGTTACAGTAGAAGATGGCTTGGAGATCAGGTCATGGTTTGGATGTAGTGGGAATAGGAAATACAGGATTTTCCTTTGAGGAAACATTACAGCACTAGAAGTTTCATAACCTTCAAGAGCAGGAAGAGTAGGAATGTCACTGACTTAACTTGCTTTCCCTTGATGTTATCCTGGATTGAAACTCCCAGTGAATACACCCAGACCTGCTATCTGATAGGAATTACATCACTCTCTTCTGAAGTAAATATTTTGATCCCTGCAGGGGAAGCTCAGATTTACCCTGCTGTAGCAAACTTCAGGATGCAGCCTTTGTGCTCCACCTCAGCCCTGCTCGTGTGTGCCTGTGCATGTTGCATCTCATGCTCAGGACACACTGTCTAGCTGAAGGAGCACCTGGACTGAGTCACCCTGGAGATGGTGTAGGAGAGTTTGACTAGCATTGAAAAGGAAGATTTGAATGCAGACAAGCTGTTGGGCCAACTCTGGAGCAGGTGTAAACATGCTGTTGGTTAACTTCAGGGGAGATACATCCCTTGGCACTGCCTGAAATCAGAAACACTCCCTGACCAGCAAGACCCTTACTACTTTTACATTGCACATTGCCAAGCAAAGCTTCTATTGCATGAGTTGTCCTGGCACCTAACTCCTCTCCCACCACATTTTCCCATCATTCAGAAAACTCCCCAGTAAATGGAGATATGCTAGACTGGTTCAGTTTTCATCTTTCTTGGTGTGATTTCCTTGGATGTTTAAATGGGGATACAAGCATCATCATGTCACCCCAGGACAATGTGCTTTGTGGTTTGCTTTATAATTTTTCCCTTGGTTCCAGCTGTCCATTCGTTTTAGACATAATCCAAAATCCCATGGCAGATCCTTCTGTCCAGGGCTGTCCTCTGTGCAGTTTGAAAGTGATGCATGATCCCGGCAGTGGCAGAGGCTGGGCAGTGCTGCGGCCTTCCTCCCTGCGGCCTTCCTCCCTGCCCAGTGTAAAGGCACAGCTCCATCTTGTGGGCACCTGGCCCGTCTTCTTCCTCACCACAGAGCCAGCTCTGGGGACTCCAGGTGTGCCTGGACCTGTCCCCTTCAGACAACTTAGTCTTGGGGCATGAAGGTTCAGCTCAGAACCACGTGGTTCAGATCTACCACATGGATTTTAAAAGCTGGATAATTGTTTCCATATTCCACAAACCCGCTGTCAATTGGTTGGACAAACTTAGTTTTACGTTAGTAGATGGTATTAAACCCACTGAGCACGGAACCAAAATGGTTCATGAAGCCAAAAGGAGAAAGCATGACTTATACCATACTTATTAACAACAATTTCTTAGTGGCTCCTCCAGATCCCTGTGCAGACAACCCCTGCCAAAATGGAGGGACCTGTTCTCTCACTCACAGCCACAGGATGTACCACTGTACCTGTCCTGAGGAATTCACAGGCGAGGACTGTCAGCTGAGTAAGTATCTTCTACCACCAGAGTTACAACATGAAATATGAATAGTAAGTAGAGCTCATTAATGTTTGCTTAATGAAAAGGTAGTGCTGTTGTGATGGGAGAGACCACTGCAGCATGAATGTTTGTGTAGGTGGATTTCTAAATGGTTATGACAGACAATCCATTCCTGACAGGACAACTGAAAATAGCTTGACTGTGCAATTATAAATCCAAGTATGCTCTGAGCATGGGAAACACAAAAAGCCTCTTCCCCTTCCTTTGCTGTTTTTAAGATTTAAATATCCCTTACATGTTTGGAAATTACGAATATTTGGTAGGCAATGCACAGAGACATGAAAAAACAGCACAATTTCAGGTGATGCCTTGTTCCTTATGTACATGCACGTGCTGGGGACAGTGATGCTGTCCTGCTCATAGGGCTTTAGGAGAAAGCCACCTCTGTCTTGAGGTTCCTGGAGCTGCTGCTCTACTGGCTCAGTGCCTCCACACTCTGGAGGCTGGCTAGCTTGAGAAGAACTGTCAACAAACATGGATCTGCTCAACAGGAAAAAAGGGATGAGCAGGGAATGATAATAGAGATTGTGGTGCCACTTCTTGCATGAAATAACATCTGAAAGCTTGTGTTGTTTGTAAAACTTCGTTTCAGAGAAATGTTTTGACACCAGCCTCTACGAATTCTTTGATGTGGGTGTGAGCTGGTCAAGAGTCCAACAAGGAGCAGTGGAGCAGTGCACGTGTGTGCATGGCCAGATGGAGTGTGGCCGTGTGGAACACAAAAGTAAGGCACTGTTTTGTACCACAGCTGTAACTCTGCATGGAGTGATGATAAAGGACAGTGAGGGTATCAAAGCCTGAGAGGTGTTACACACCCCAATGCTGCCCTTGCAGCTCATGTACCCTCTCTAAAAGACAATATTTTAGATTTAGATTTCCTTTTCAAGAGTTATAGATATGAGCAATTATACTGACCCAGGAAGTCCCTTCAATGTGTCCATCCTTATTTGAGGAAGCAACTATTTTAGGAGGAATTTTAGGGACACACAGTGTTTTCTTAGAGAGGGATGAAACCCCGATCTGCAGCATGTAAGAATATACAACAGATTATATAGGAGAAGTGGTAGAATTCTTTCTCCAAAACTATAACCTGCCTGAGAGGCACACCCTGCACACCAACAATCACTTCATATTGCTGCTTTGCCTCTGTGTTTCTTCCCAAGTCCATCCCACTCTTGAATTACCAGCATGTAAATTTTACCTGCCTCCAAGATCCCATAAGGCCTGCATTGGCTCCAGAGTCCCCATGATTTTTGGCCCATTCCTGGCAGGGGTAATGCTTACATTATGAAGCCTCCTCCTTTTTTAAGGGGGTGCCAGGAGCCCAACACCCTTGCCAGCCAGCACAGGAAATACACTTTGGGTTGTCACCCATCTGAAGAAGCTCCTTTCATTTGGAGGAGAGATGTTGGGAAGCAAACCATGTGCTTCACCTACACATGTGCTCTGGTATGGCTATTCTGCTACTCAGTCTGGCTAACTTTTACCCTGCCCAGATTCACAAGTAAGTCACACTATAAATTAGTTTCATAAAAGCCCTTTGAAATACATAGGTGTTTTTATTCCCACCTTATGTAATTGGAAACTAAAGTATGGAGAGTCAGTGGCTTTCTAGGATATTGAGAGTCCATGTGAGAGTTGGGAAATTTGATAGTACTTAATACTTCCAAATCACAGATTTAAATATTTAACTGAGCTCCCTACTAGATATGTTATTATAAATTCTAATAGAGCTCAGTGGCAAGTCTGGAATTGGCAGAACCCTCTATAGAGGAAGAAATGTTAATACCATCTCCACTAGTAATAATAATCACCACCCCCATTTTACCTATTGTTCACTGATAATATCTTTCAATAGCTGACATTATCCAATAGCAGTGAAAACAATAGACAGACCTTAGTGGGCAGAAATCAGTCGAGTTTCCTTCTCTTTAATTTATCACAAGTGTAGTTCTGACATAAACAAAGAAGAAAAACTTCCCCCAAATGCATATGCACAGAGGAGATGCACTAGAGCAAGTTAAAATGGACTGATTCTCTTGAATAATTTGTACCTTTGGTTTGATCATTGGTTGTGTTTCCTTGTAGGTTGTGCTCATAATCCTTGCATGAATGGTGGAGAGTGCAAGATGGTTGCCTCCACTGGGAAAATAGTATGTGATTGCAAAGAAAATTATGCAGGAAAGTATTGCAATATTGGTAAGTATAACAACCTACAGGCAGACAGAATTAGGAGTTTCATCTGGGTGTAAGGCTGCTGGGTTTGGCTCTGTTGTATTCTGCATTCGAGGACATTTCTTGTAACACCTGAAGAGTCACACAGAACAAGGGTTTAATGTATTTCTCCTATGTAAAATATAACACATACTTCACCACTGAGACTCTGCTTCTAAAAATATTTTTTTCACGCCCTTTACTTTATAGAAAATCAAACAGAAATTTTAATCCAATTACACATGCCTGTAAAATAAGTGCATGCTTCCCTTTTGCAGTATCAGTCACAGGGTTGTACTCTAGAGCTACTGCCTCCCTACACATCCACACATCCCCTATAAAGCAGAGAATAACATCTGACAAAATCTAGCAGCTGTTCTTTGGTAGCACTCAATGACTGTGGGACAGAGAAAATGCTCACCCTTTGGGTTACCATGCACTTTAAGCACATTTAGCCCAGCACAGGTTATACAAAACCCCTTCCTTTCTCTGATGGGTCAGGGCTCAGAAATCTGCTTATTGGTATCTATGTGTAAGTCCTGTTTTGTATTTTAGATGCTACATAGTTTTGATACAACTTTCCTCCAGAAGACTTAACACTTACCCCAGAAGGGGTTAAATCTTGCTTGCATGCTATATCTGCAAATCATGCCAGTGGCTACTTTTTAAATAAATGCACGTTTTAGGCATAAATTTTAATAGACCTTCAGTCAACACCATCCTGTGACCCCATCAATTCCCTTGCTCTGTCTTTCTGGGTGCATAAATCCCATGGCTCATCAAAACTGAGGACATGACTCCCAGTAGCTCTGGTGGGCACTTTCTTAATCCAAATGGGTGGTGGGGTAAAAAAAACCTGTTAAGGAACACTGCAATTTATATCTAGTGTTCTTTTTGTTACTTTGATAGTTAACAAATGGTGTAGGCAACTATTCTAGCTGGGGAAAAAAAAATCCATTTGGGAGACCAGCAGTACAGCTGGAATAGCAAACAGCAGGAGTGAGTGGGTAAATTGGAGAGTGTATGAGTTGGCCCTGAACTCACCAGGTACCTGATAAATCATGAGAAATCTTTTAAGTCCTTCACAAGGAGCACTATTTTAGCTCAGTTGTTCTGTCCTTTAGTTACCCTGGGGAGGTTGTCCCAGGCTTTGGGAATGCTGCTGCAGGGATCTGGGTGAGGGGCTGCACAGCACATGTGTGACCTGGAGCTCAGGCCAGGGCTGCACTCTGCTCATTTTCACATTAAACTGCTTTTCCAATTCCTGTTTTATTATCAGCTTCCCCTGCCCCAAGCAGCAATGGTGCACAGAGACATGCACCCAGCAGGGCCTGATCATAAATACCAGGAAGGCAGTGTTACAGATGTCATACAGGTTTCTGACTAGCTTAGGACATGAAATAAGCAGGTGCTCTTTGATTACTTGAAAATAATAAAGCAAACATTTGGTTTGCTAAACAAGTGGCTTTGGATGCTTACAATCCATCTGTGTTCAGATGCCTAACACCCCTACACAGAATGGGAACTGAAGGCTTGTGTTTGTGTGTCAGGGCCTTGCAAAAAGTCTTAAAAAAGAAAAAACTCTTTTTCAAGATGCAGTCCTTCTAAATGAATGCAAATAAATGAGTCTTCAGGTCTATAGACTGGTACTATCACCACAGTAGGGCAATGGCATTCTGGTGAAAGTGCTACAGCCTTGTGTTCTCTGAGCACTCAGAAATGATTTTTAAATATTTGTTGGATTAATTTTTTCTTTGACCCTTCAATTTGATGCAGTGAACAGAAATGGCTTTTTTTCTTTGTTTCTGTTTTACTGTCTTGTATAGTTTCCCCTGTCTAACAGGATGTACTTGTGAGGTTACCCTTTAGTTGGAATAGCTGGTGGCTATAAAGCTTGATTCAGAGAAAGTGTTACACTATTTCCTCTCCAAAGTGTACTTTATTCTGAATTATCAGTTAAAGAGGCAACCTTAAAGCCAAGGTGTGATGCAAAAATGTGTTCTTAGATTTTTTTTTTTAAAGCAGAAATCAATCAATTCAATAAACAGAAAGTCTCCCAGACTGTTATAGAGCTGTAATGAGTTTGAGGGATCCTCTGCCCTTGACTTACACAAAGAATTACCAGCCTTCATCTGTGTCTAATGGAAAACCAGCAAATTTATCTTAACATTAATAAATGAGGTACCATCCTTCATCCATCAGATCACAAGCTTTAGTACTGCTGTGCCTCAAGCATTGGTACAATAGACTGAGGAGCAAAACCAGCAGGTTTTGAAAGTACTGAAAACAGTTCTCTTGCTTGAGGATTTATTTAGCAGATGCTTGGACCATCATATCTGTCAGACCTTTACCTGTTTTCCATGAATTTGTCTAACTTCTTTAGTATTCCTTTATGCTTTTCCCTTTCACAGCATTCCATGTCAAGAAGTCCCAGAATATAAATAGATGTGATGAAAAGAACTATTTTCAATTGTTAACAAAAAACCCACTGCATGGTAATTTTATTCTTCCCCTTTGAACAGTGAGTAACAGAATAATCATAACTTTTGTGATTTTGAATGTACCTATTTATCTGTCCATTACTTTTTGGACTACAAAAGTAGTGTCCCTGCCAGTTCTCAAAACTCATCTTTGATCTTAAAATTCTCTTGCAAACAATCATCATATATGTATGTGTGTGTATATATGTGTATGTGTATATATTTCTAGGCTATTATCATAAATGACCATATAGCTACTGGAAAATCATGAGCTGACTTAAAAAAAAAAAAAGAGAGATGATAAAAGTAACAGAGGAGATATCCATCACAAAGGAGATTGATATACAAAAGACAGTTTTTAATATAGATTTCTGTTCTTTGTGGTAATACATTATTTTCTTCTTAAAGAAGAAACTTGCAGTACTAAAGAAAGAACTGCCATTTAAAAAAGTGTTCTGAGACAGTTTATACGCATAGGATTTCAGGGAAGTTTAATTAGTTTAATTTTGAAGGAAATTTAGATGCATTACCAACAAATCTCTCTCCAAAGAGATGCTGTTTAAAATTGTTCAAGGACTCATGTTTAATTAAGTTCAATTCATAATAACTGTCTTTAAATATGCACCTATTTTCAGAAATAAGGCTTTTGTGCTAAAAAAGTGGCTGCATTCTCTTTGGAAACAGCTCTTGCTGGGACAGCTCTGAATCCAGGCTCTAGGTGAAGATTCAGAATCAATTGTCCAATCATGAGTAGCAGTGGTTGTCTCATTGAACACAGAAATTTATCAAAATGGCCCAAATCCAACCCTTCAGCAGTGGTAAATGTGGGCAAGAAGTGAAACCTGAGAGAGATGTCAGTGGAATATTTTATCTCAAGCTCAGGTTGGCATTGGGAATGAAGAACAAATTTATTTGGTAGATAATTAACTTCATAAATATTTAGCTTCACTGGAGGTGATAATTGATGAAAAACACTTATAAATATGTAATTGTAAAATTACTTTGACATTTTGTTTCTTTGAAATGATAGGAGCCATGGTGGAGATGTTGGATACAGAGGAGGAGTTATCTGGACAGAGGACAGATAATTCATTTTAATATGCATTTATGGAGAAGTTAAAGGGGGTTAAAGGGAAAAGGAAGGAGATGGATAATTTTTTTTTTCAGGGGGTTAGTGCCCTTAGGTTTCTGTGGTTGACACCCCACCATTGCATTTGCAGTTTTTTGCTTTAGGTGAATGGAATGTGAATGGAAATGAATAGATATTTTGCCAGATTTCCATGTAAAAGCACTTAGTTTTTCTTACCACAGCTTTGTTACTGTTGGTTGGATGTCAGTTGTTAGTAAATTTGGGGTACTTATTTGTATTTTAAATTTATTCTTGATGTATTCTTATTTATGCTTTATTTATATTCTGATATGTTAGTGGGGTATATTTATTCTCTTAGTCACCAAGTCTTTTTCTGAAGCATTTGCTCACTGTGGTTGTGGGTTGCACTGGGTTTGAGTACATTGGGAGCACTGCACAGAGGATTAAATGTTTTGAGTTTTCTTTGGATTAAGGCTTAGGTAGACATAATGGTTTTGACAATATTTTGGTCATGATGAAATGTGAAGTTGGTGAAGGTATTTTTGAAAACTCTGCTTTGTAGTGTTGGGGGTATTTACATCATTAGGCTGTGGATAATGGAATTAGAGGGGTGCCATATCTTTAAAGAAAGCATGGGTTGGAATGCTAATTGTGGAAACCTTCTGGTTATGTAAGGAGATGTGGTGTATGTCAGAAGTAGGCTGAGGATTTTCAGAAAAGGAAGATGATAGAATAGCTGAATGTATAATGACCTACAGGAAAAAAAACCCCAAAACTTCTTGGCCACATCTTTAGGGGTTAAACTGGAGGAGTTTGAGGTAATAGAATTAGCAAAAAATGACAGCAAACCCACCTTTTTAGTGGTTCATTTACTGAAATAGTGTGTTGGCAATTTTCTACTAAAAAAGCTACTTTAGTAAAGGAAATTCAGCTCTGGAGGCTGGCAGGAAAATTTAAAATATTTTTTGTTTTCTGAAGAAGACATAAGATAATGAATTTTAACTTTCTGGTTTATATTTACCCTGAACTAGAATGCTTTTAGTGTTTAATTTTTTACTTTCTAGAAATGCAGGGGGAAACAGGATGAAGTACAGCAACAAGGTCACTTGGCTGACAATGATAAATGGGCATTTAAGTGGTCAGTCAGTCCCCCCCTGAGCTTGGACAAGTGGGTCTGTAAGTAAGACTTGAAAAAGGTTTCTAAGTGAGGCTGAGATGATGCTTGTTGCTTGCATTTGTGAAGCACTGGGCTGAGTAGTGAAACTAGGAGGAAAAGAATAAAGTCATTATTTCTCCACAGTTGTGGGAAAATAGAGGGAACAGCAGATATAAAAGCAACATCATGTATTAATATGGCTTGAAGAGGTGATTATGTTATTTGCACAGGACAAGTTTTATAAGTCACCATGGAATTT